CTTGGTGGCGTAACCCAAGTTCGCAATATACGCGACGCTGGCATAGTTGGTTCCCTGTCGCGATCCATTTCTTAGCTAGGCGGGATGGTGTGCCTTCGCCTTATATATATATATATATATATATATATATATATATATATATATATATATATATATATATATATATATAAACAATTGGCAGAATGCCACAACGCATGCGTAACAACTACGAAAGAGAGGAAAAGAGACAGTCTGGGAAATCGTCACTTGGGTTCTTGTGTTGCATGTGCAGTGAGCTTCCCGGTTGACCACGCCGCGGAATAGGATTGAATTAGGGTGCCCCACTCCGAGAGTTTCATCTTACAGATCTGAGGACACGTGGTAATCTTAGCAACTGACTAGCGAATAGACATGCAGCCATACAAAATCATGGAATGCACAGGTTTTATCCCATCATTAACATGGCCCGCTAGCTGAAGGTATGCAACACACTTCAGCTACTGTACCGCAATAAGAGCGTAACTTATTTCGTTTTTTCCTACACCACTTTTTCATTTTTTCCATCCCTTTTTATTTTTTCATTTTTTAAGTATTAGACAGCTGAATCTAAACAATTATAAACATAGATCTTTCACTGGTGTTGAATGCGCATTATTTCCCGTATTGTTTCTAACTCTCGGCAATCATCGACCTTTGGTCCCCAATCAGCTAGATTTCTATCCGATGCCTTACCAGCTTGCTGTGTTCAGGCACGCTATAGGCGACGAAGCCAGAAGAGCATTCGAAATTGGATCTCAGTGATATAGATGAGCAGGGGACCGACATTTCTGAGATAATCAAGAGATTTGGAGAATATCGTGAAGGTCAAACAGAATGAAACAAACCAGAGATACCTGTTTTTTGGTCCCAGTCACTTACTGGATGAGTCGGTCGAGACCTACGGTACAGAATTAAAAGTTCAGGCACGAATGTGTAAATTACGCAACTGTATGCGGGACTCCCCGGTACGCGACCGCAACGTAATCGGCATCGGAAATGACGATCTCACTCGAGGCATTCTGAGGTAGAAAAATCTGTCCCTAAATCGTTGTGTGGACATCTGCCTTAGCGAAACAAAAACATCACCACAGCTCCAGCATTTACAGTTGAGTACGACAGTAGGACTTTGTACAGTATCGAAGACCAAGAATGTCCTATTGCTACCATACGAGGGACAGGTGGCCATCTTTCAGTTTTATGTTCGGAAAGATCCAACGCGAAAGGAGAGTTGTCCAGCTTGGGGCAATACCTGTATGAAGTGTTAAAAAAAACCATTTCGCTCGCCGTTGCAGTTTGGCCAACATCAACGCGGTAGACAAGGAAAGTCAACACGACACACAGGAGCTCACAATAAAAAACGGAGTATTTGCGAGGGCATAATTACATTTTTGCTACACTGGAAATTCAAGGACGTCTAGTTCACTTTCAGCTCGATTTGGGAGCCACCGTCAACACACTGCCCGAGAGACAGTGTGCCGGAGTAAAATGCACTGAAGCATGTTGTTGTCTCAAAATGTGGAACGGCTCGAGACGAAAACCGAAAAAGAACACTATCATGACCGCTGTCAACCCGAAGGACGGAACGGAACACCAGCTTGAATTCCTGGTTGTGTCAGCAGATTTTAAGCTCATTTTGGGCATTGATTGCATTCAGCGCCCTGATTTTGTTTCATCTAACGGTGATCGTTTTTTTACTCCTGTCCAGCTGTGGTAGATATTGTTGATTTGTATTCTACCTTGTTCGATGGGATTATTGGGGAATGCAAAGGACTACGCTCATTCGTCGTTAAATGAACCTGCTTAAGTAGAAGCTCTGCCAACAAGAAAGTTGCCCATAACATTGCTCGAAAGGCGAGGAATTGCAGCCTTTGACCACTTTGGCGTCGTAGTCAAGGTCGATGGGCCGACAGATTGGGTAAGCAAAATGGCAATCGTTAATAATAATAAAAATGTGATTTGCATGTATGTATTGATACGAAACCGCCCAATGCCTCGCACAGAAGAGAGCGATGGGCCGAACACTCACTCCGAATTCAATCTCCATCCATTCGCCGTTTGTATGCCAAGTCCACACAGTTGCATGCCTTGAGTCATGTCATTGGAAGCATCTTACAAGGTCTTCGTCGACATTCGACATCTCAAAAGATTCAATTCTCCCGGCTCCAATAAACGTCCACCGTAATCGTTCAAGTGTGAGGGCCCAGTACCTGTTGAACAGTTGGCATCGCTGTTTTCCAAGATATGGCAGAATGCGAAGATTCCATACTTCTGGGTTGAGTCAGTAATTGTCCATATTTTCAAGAAAGATGGTCCCACATCCGGAGCTAATCACACGGGCAACTGTTTCAAGCTTGTTGCTTCCAAACTGCTGGCATCTGTACTGCACGCAGATTATCCACCGATTCGCGAGTTGCCTTACCGCGAAGAACAAGTCAGCTTTCGTCCCGGTACAGGACGCATGGATCAGCTCTTTACGCTACGCAAAATACTTGCACATCATCATCTCTACCACAAACCAGCCATTGTTGTCTGCCTAGACATTCCAGCTGCATTTCACTCTGTCGATCGGCCTGCTTAATGATACCGTTTGTTAAGAAATAGAATCTACGAAAAATACACCCCCAAAATTCATGTACTTTATTACCAAGTGCCGGGTAGAATGATGGTATTTGCCGAGCTTTCATCACGCGTCGCCAGAAATAGTGGTGTGCGATAAGGATGTCTTTGTCTCCATATCTCTTCAAGGTTGCAACTGAGAACGTCCCGTTAAGAACTCTGGAGACCTACCAACAATTTCAGTCTTGAGCTTCTTCCTGGCCATCACGTGACCGACATACATAATGCTGATGATATGGCTCTACTCGGTGACGATTCACAGAGTGTACAGCTCTTTTTTATCGTCTGACGATTAAAGCTTCTAAGTATGGTGTGTGCTTTTCTACCCTAGATTGTTAAGTGTTACTCCAGGACTGGGAGTCGTTCGCCTCCTCAATCGCCATTGAAGGAACCCAGCTAGAGCTTGTGGACAATTTTGTCTACCTCGGAAGCTATATTTCTGATGATGGCACTATGGTGAAGGATGTATCTCTTCGCAGCGCCCAAGCCAGATCGGTATTTACCAAGCTGAGTAATTTGTGACGCCGTCGGGATATATCCCTCTCTTTAAAGGTGAGAGTCTACAACAGGGACGTCTAAAGTCTGGCTTGTGGGCCACATTATCATTAAAACTGGCCAGCGGCCTCAGCATGAAATAATAAATTCAGGTTTAGACATTTTTCGTATATGTGTAATATTTGTTATTATTATGTCAGACTGTATAATGTACGACATATTTTTACCTCTCAAAATGTGGCCCTCAATGCAAAATGTTTGCACACCCATGGTCGATAACCCTTGTGTCCGTGCAGCTTATTTGCTTTCACGGGATAGGATTGGAAGAGAACGCGTGGAGGTCATCTAACCACCTGGCGGCAAACTATGAAATCGCTGACCTCGTGCTTTGCAATCGTCGACCCTGTACGTCTTCCTGGTTGGGACCAAAGCATGAGGACTACCAATGGCTCGACACACTTGATGATTTGGATTTCACTTAAAGATTCCTTTGCATGTTCGCAGAAATTTTGACCATTCACGACTTTTATGGACGATATTCTTGAAGATCGTACGTCAGTTTGGACTCAACGCTGCCTACTTTGTTTGACATTTCTTTTATTGCCAGGATTGTCAAAAAGTGTTCTTTGTTGGAATAATTACTGAGACGCTTGTTAGTGCCAAAAACGCGACCCCTAACGATGATGCTCAACTGGACGTTGTGTCTGAATTGTATTCCACTGCATTATGTGAATACGTGTCCTATCGTCTTGGATGACTGAGTGATTGTTCCGTGATGAAGTCAGTACACGTAACCAATGCTTTGTATTGGATTGTATCACAAGAAGTAGCTGAAGACTGAGGGTTTGCCTGTTTAATGAATGCTTAGATGGAATGATATAGTTGGTGCTTCTTACCGAACCCTCAGTGTGAGTTGGTAGCTAGAACTAACGAATTTGGAGCGCATGGAATACACGCTTAGACTCAACACTGACAGTACTCGGATGTAGTTCATTTATTAAGATCGGGTGCCTATGCGGCCAGGCAACCGAAAGTTGAAACACCTGAATTTCCTTTATCGAGTGTTTTTGAATTAGACTTGGAAATCTCGCCGTGCAAAGAGCAGCGTTAGAGTATGACCCATTCTTGACGATTATTTGCAGAGTCCAGACAAATACATAAATGAAAATATGTGACATCGCTCATAAATGCATGAAATAAATGGGAATAAGTAAGCGCGACCACCAAGTGATAACGATTGGCCTCAAAGTGTCTGATAAACAGACTCTGTGACCTTGACACATCTGGTCCGGAATTGTGGAATCAAATTATGGGCCAATCAATCAGGTTTGTACCAAGCGTTAGACAATTGCTTTCTGAAATGATTTAAACTTAGTTGCCGTTTGTAACAGAAATAGCAGCTTTCAGTGGGAGTTGTAAAACTGGAACTTAGCCTTATCCTTATTGTGAGAATCGAAGGAATTTATCGTGCTCAGCTAGACGTCGTCATCCCAGTAAGGTCGCACGAAAGCGAACCGTGGGTTGGTACAAGTTAGCTAAGGCGAAGGCGACGGTTAACTTGCTTCTGCATCTTGTACTAATGCAGTGACGGCTGATCTTCGGCTCATGTGTGCTCTTGGTGTTGATACACCTTGCTGCTTGCCAAAGAGCAGTTCCCGTAGAGTTCTGTACTCTACGTACGTGACTGGTGCGCATCCAACCGGTTACTCACTGACCAACTTAATTTATTTAGCCCAATTATGAATGGATTCCAACGTCCGTAAGTTAGACAGTTGTGTTTTATGAAATGGATTTATCCTATGGTTGACCAAAAGGTTTCCTAGTTCATTTAAATTATATCTTAAACATGTTCTGTTTGCTTTCATTTACAGTTTTTGCAACAAAATCCTGACTTCTCCACAACTTTACCCAAGGAGCAGTACCATACCGACGATCCAGAATCGAGAGCCGTACTGGCAGAGGAACAGTCAGCCCTTCCAGAGGTGCGGGGTCAGGATGACCGTGAATGTAATAAACATGGTTTGCACATTCAGCAGACGTGTGCAACTATAAACTCAATCATCCCTTTTGCAAACACATCAGAGGCAATGATAAATATGATTAGCCAATCGAGCATGCACCAGGAAAACACCTCGATAGACTGCCAAACATCCAAAGTTGGCAATGAATTAGGCACAAACAAGAGTGACAGCGCGGATACGGTGGTGCGGAGTTTGACCATAGCCCGGAACAAGGTGAGCTATGGTGAGATTGACCGACCAGACGAAGCGCAGATAGACCACGTGACATCTAGGCCTGTCCGCGACATCCCATTGGACAGCTATGGTGAGGACACACGGCTTGGAAGCAAATGCGTGGGTGATAATAACGCATCTTCCCTACAGATTGCGTTTGGGACGCTAGGCTCTGCTGTCGGAGTAACTGGCTGTCTCAGTCCGCTGTTCGATGTTGACCAATCGATCGGAAGTCCGTCAGTCAGTATCAACACTGGCGAGCAGACGGGAGCGGAAGTGGACACCCGATCGACACAGTTTAACGAATACGCTACTGCTTGCACAGGCCATAATTGGTATGCAGCCCCATTGCGTATATCGGATCTGCGCAATTTGATTTATCCAAGTGAGCAAAAGTTCCGGAACGAGCCAGAGATTCCATGTTTCACGAGTAAGGCAGAAACTGCTGTTGAATTAACCGGAGGACCTATTAATCATGGTGGAATTACAACGGACGTATCATACAATACTAGCCCAAAGGAGTTATCTATTTTGAGCACCGATAACTTACCACTGTTCTATTTGGAGCAGCCTCCGGTACAATCCCGGAGACACGAGGAGTTCGAGTCCTTTGTACCTTCAGTGTGTTATACCTGGTTAGGAACTAAGACTTCTGCTGACCCCGGATTGTCTATTGTGAACCCTAAAGATCGCTCAGCCACTGCTGCGTCCTCTATTTCCGATCGAGGGAGAGAAATTGCGAAGAGAGCCCTGATTTCGAAACGACCCACCAGCCCTGATACTCACTACAGTTTTCTCTGTCACTGGGATAATCCACTAACAGCTAATTTCTCAGCGGACCCGTCGGACTTCCTCAGAGAATCGGGATTATTTACTGCACATAAATGTTCACTGAAAGCAATTACCTGTACGGGCTGGAGGTCTTGCTACCCACGCGTAACAGATGATTGCTTGTTCAGCCCAGAGGACAGCATTTCTGACTTTGTAATAACTGAGCAACCGAGGAATTTTTATAATAGGCTTTTACATAACAGTCTCTTAGCAACACGCACATTTAAAAACAATTTCTCACAACTGTTGATTGTAGAAACCGAACCTGTTACTCTGAGTAAAGCAAAGCATCGGCTGAACCTCCTCCAGCGAATACAAGAAGAGGCTGTGCTCACATTGGAAGAACACACTCCTGCGTCAACAGATCTGCAGACGGAACTAATGCATTCACACGCTGACTGCGTTTTACGTCGTAGACGGCCTCGTTCTTCTTCCTATACTTACTCCACGCATCCCTCAACAGATGGCTTATTTTGCACTCGTAGACAAGATGGAAGACGTCGCCACTCTTCCCACGCGTGGGAAACTGGTGACAAATTTTCCGCAGTGGGACGCTTTAAAGCTGTGGATGATTCTTATGCTGATCGGCATCTTGTGAAAGATGATTTTGACTTACACAGATTTCAGAGGTCACCTAGCATGCATCGGCTTAGCTCACGAATCTATGCACGAGATGATGAATGGCATCCAGTGCACGATCCTGTGTTTGGAACCGGCTACGGGTCATCTTGCGGTGGCCGGTATTCTGCCAATGGGTTCTTCCGCTCTTCCCACATAGAGCCGAGAGATGTGAGATACTTTGCTCCGAATTCCTCTACCTGTGATTGTCCGCGTGCCATTCATACAGGGAGTTATTTGTACCCATCAAAGTTCACAGTCCAGCCCAAGACCGTGGTGAACCGTCAGGTTAAGCGTGAGTCAGTGCGCCTACGACACAATATACTCGACGGGGATATTCCGCATTATACCGGAAAATGGCAAACTGAAAGTGATGCTTACTCCGCGGTAGCAAGTTTCTCGAGCCTGCTGAGACGGAATTATGAGGAGGACTTAAGAAAAGCAAAAACCTGTACGGCACAGGATCCATTCTCACACAGTGGTCGCAGTTTGGGATATCTAAAGGAGATTTTGCAACGCGATGGAGCTGAATGTCACATTTACTCTCCCAGGATCTCCCCAGTAGCTTATTCACTGAAGAGGCCAGCATCTCTAAGATCTGCTCCAGCACCTTCTGGCTATAGAGGAGGCATGTTATCCAAATCCATAGAATATCTGGGTCCAAAAAATTACTTTAAGCTTGGTGCGTTCGACACCTCAATGCACACCTTAAGGGCTCGTTTGGCTGCTGCTCGTTCCGAATCATATTTGAACAGTGCAATGGAAGAAACCGCCGAACCCTTGATTGATACTTCTGAAATAAAATATAGATCGCTGGATCGCCATTACGGACGAGAGGATCGGACAACAGTGCAGCTTAGAAGACAGGTGGAGAGGCAGCACCGCCAGTTGTTGGAAAACCTCTTCAAGGAAACTTCGTCTGATTTCGGCTTGGCCCCTTGCATGTACACAGACCCAGTTACCACTGTAAGTGCTATCTGCGATCAGCTTTACCATCCCACAACTCTTGGTGCAGTATTGGATGATAAAACAATGAACTATCCCCCACAGGCTCCTCTGATAAGCTCCACAATGGCACCACCAATTTTCACTACGGCGGCGTTACAAAACATGGCTGATGGGTATTCAGCCTGGACCAGCAGTGCTGCTTCCTTCACACCAGTGAATCGACCACCTTCCGATGTTCTCCTCAGTACACAAACGCCACCCTCATTAGAGTATACTAGCACTCAGTTGCAACCACAAACGCTGGTACCTCAGAGTGAAGAGCTGACAGGCCCCGTTGATTCCAATGCTAACCTACTGGAACTGTTACAAGATCCGAAGTTTCTGCAATCAGTTGCTCTAAATCCGGAGCTAACTGCACAACTGGCATCTCTGTGCTCTGATTTCACTCTTACGGACGCTAACCAAGTGACGCTGGCAGCAATGACAGGCGCCATTACAGCCACTGCCATAGCGAATGCAGGGTTAATTGATGGATCGGTGTGTAACTTAGATGGCTTATGGAACTTGGCGAACGACCCAGGTGTTAGCGAATTCAAAGAACAAGAACCTTACCCCCAAAACGACTGGATACATTCAGCAACCAAAACTTCAGAACAGCCCGCTTACGCGCTTTCGAGTCTGGATAGCGAGAGATTAGAACAAGTGCTGCAACAACTCAGAATGGTTCTAAATAAGGACCTTGACTCTCAGAACGAAGCGAATGCCGAAATGGCTGACAGGGACGAATCAGATGCGAGACATTTAGCGCAGACGATGCGGTACAATGGGCTTGCTCACGCTGTGGACAGCAATATTTCAGCCCATCCGAGCTCTTTCCCTGCTAACACCCAGTCGGAGTGCATCAGACCAAGTGAAGCAGTAAACAGTTGGCTCGTGACTAACTCAAATTTCACAGATCGCGCACAATCCAATGGTAAGTCAGATAACTGCTTTATTCTTTTCCCTTTCTTTCTTTCCTTTAGTGCTCATTCCTGCCACGCTCGTGCCCACATTGTACACGCTGGTGAGCGTTCTCCTGACGAGGTGCTTATCTAGCGGATAATAACCACTAGTGCTGATTAGGAAAAGGAACGCGAAATTTTGGTGGCCAGTGCATAGTTGTTCAAGCGACATCCCCATTGTCCAGATGCACATATTCAAGATTATTATCTTCACACTGAATAATCCAAGATTGTTCCCTTCTTTTGTGTACCTGTCCGTGGTCTCTTTAGTGCCGAAAATGTCAAAACAAGTAACATGGTTGTAACCCCTATCTATGAAATTCGGCTGTAATTTATACTTTAAGTACTTGAGTCACTGCATATACGAGCCATTTACACGTACTTTATCGATCATTTCACTGCTGATTTTGATGTTAGCACTATCGCGTCTTGTCTCTCTCATTGTCGAGCAGCTTCCATGCTTCATCTGCGAAACTGAAGTCGTGTTCATTAGATAGGACTTACAAATCCTGCTATTCAGTTTCAAATTTCCTTTCGTCGATTTATGCCCTCTTGCCTCAAAAAGCAGCGGATGAGCCCGCTATTCGCAGTCACTGCACCCGACTTTATCATCAGCAGCAGTAATGGTGCCAGAAGTAACGGTTAGACATCAATCTTTGACAAAACCGCTTCCATGCAGCAAAATTCTGGCTAGGAGGGCTAATGTAGCCGGAAGGGTGGATTGAATCACTGGGGATGGGGGCACAAACAACAATCTAGCATTTCGAGTTAGGTCACTCACACATGCTCACTAAGTCATGTAAGGCTTTGATGACTTCCGCTGGACAGTTTATTTCCGGTAGCCTTATTGATCTTAAACATCTTACCTTCAAATCCATTCGGTTGGATGATTAGCTGCCGCTTTGTGTTCGGAGCCCAAAATCAAACACTGAAAGTAAAGTCACCTGTACAGAACTCTGTTGACTATCTGCTTATTACATTTATGCTAACCTTGTCTTCTACTGTTTTTATGTACACATACATTTTGTGGAACAGCCGAGTTGTGCTCATTAAACAGTGTATGCAGACACTGACTGTATTGAGCCATTGCGAGTTCCTGCTACTTACCTGTTGATCAAATGAGTTGCGTTTTCCCTCAAATCGAAAATTCCTCTAGGCTTGGCTGTACCATATAATACGACGAAATCTGTGCATGCGCGGCTGCATCGGGTTCTAAAGTTGTTAGTGAAAAGAAATGAGAAGAGGTTGTTGTATGTACACGTTCAACTTCTCTTACAAATTTTACAAAAATACAGGCGCTTTACCCTGGCCGTGGATGAGTTAGGGATTATGGTGACTTCTGTATACATGGAGTCAGCCGGACGTTCGTAGTACTCACAACAGCAATCGGTAGGCCACTGTCACTCTTGATTAGTGCTAATCCTAACTTAACCATTCTGATATGGTTCACGCATTTGTAAAGCAGTGTAGTATTAGTTGCATACATTAAGTACCATCCCCTCCTGTCGTTCCTAGTTGTCGGTCCTGATGAGTGGACATGCAGTGGTTACTTACTGCTTTGTACTTCTTCCATACCATATCACATGTGCTTTGCTCCTCGGCTTTCATTATGTGCGAGACTCCTTTGATCTGATCAAAGAATTTGAGTCTATTTTGTTATGAACAGAGCCCATGTACTCGATAGACATGGAATCACGTTTTACCAATGTGCCTTGGCTTGCAATAACTGATGATTTGTGGCATTTTCGCTTGAGTCAAAAAATATTTGCGGGCATTTCACCAGAGTTTCTGGGCAAATTTATTTTATTGTGCACAGGGGATGTCCGATTTGTGTTTGAAAGCACTGCACACAAGCAGGTGAACGTTGCCGTAATAGACAGTGCTTTGGGATCTGTTTTGACAGGCACATTTCTAGGGCTTACCAAAGAAAAAATCGCAGACAACACTGGTGAGGCAAGATTTTACACAGTGGCGTAGCATGGGGGAGGGACGGGGGCGGTCCGCGCCGGGCGGCATTTTTATCCTCGTCTATTTTTCGATACAACGTATAAAATGGCGAAATATCCGGATAAGCTGGGAGTTGAACATTTTAATGCTACTTGTATGACCAACAACGCATTTGCGGCACTTTTCATGCTTGTGTGAGCGTTATTTCCAGCGATCCGCTTACTTGTCCCATTGTGGTCACTTCCATCACACTTACCTCAGTGTCCCAGACGATCATCCACGTCATCGAAAACGAATTTGCACTTTACCTTGAGCCTATTGGGTGGCCTTCACTCGCCCATTCTGCCCTCACTCAGAGGGGAAATTTTGCCACCGCCCCTTGCTGCCAAAGTAGTTGCAAGGCTACTGGTTGCACAAACGGTATGCAGATGACATCTTCATCTTCCCCAGCGGCCATTACTTGGATCATCTTTTTGCTCTATTGAATGAGCTCCAGTGTGCTCTTTCTGTGCCCCGTAAGACTGGACGTATCCAGGAGAGCCGATGGCAACTTCAGTGCAGTGACCAAAGTAAAGTGACCTATAGTGAGCGATCCATCCACTATTCTAACTTTACTGCAATTGCGTACAAACGCGGCCTCGTGAAAACTCTGATCTACAGCGTCAGATGCATTTGTAGCACGGAGCCACTAAAAGCTGAAGTAGAGTTCCTACAAGGGACTTTGCTATCTAATGGGTCTACGGGGAAATATATTCAGATCCACAGCAGACCGCCCAAAGTGAAGTTGCCGTTGTACGCGAAGGAGAAGTGTGTTTACTTGTTCCTGCCCTTAAAGGTAGCAATATAGGGAGTAACAACGTGCACAAACTGAGAACCTAGTACCAACGTTTAACAAAGTCTAAGAAATTCGTCCCTATTTCCTCGAACTGCGAAATTTGGCATTCTGTACTTACGGCTTCTGCGGCTAGCCCTTGGTACTCTTGTGCGACAATTAGTTCCTCTGGTATTTAACTCGTAATTTTCCCAAGTTTGACTATGCGGTTGAAGCTTGTTGTCCAGGATGAGAACAAAACATCCTTCTTTTGGTGTAACACGTGGATTATTTGGCCTCCATTAGGAACAGCGCCTTCCTTTAATCGATCTGTTCTCTTTAGAGTACCAAAGACTCCGCGGGGATCGCAATCTCACCGACCTGATACTGACAGAGTGATCATCCATATAATTCATTGTTTGCCGTATCTGCTTACAAACAAAGCTGAGACTACAATCCGAATCTAGTAACCTGATACACTGGCTTGGAGTATAGGAATTTCTTTTATTCTCTCAGAATATGTTCACCTTGGAATGCATTACTAGCGCATGTGGTAAATCCGCCAAACATCGTTACCTAGGAAAAATTATTGGATATTCATCTGCGTAGTAAATGCCTCGCAATAGTGTGGCAAAAGGCTATATCTGGTTTTATGATGGTTCACGCTTTTGCGGTAACATTTTGGTACTTTTTTGCGTTTTCCATCCTATAGGCCATATGACGCTATTACTTTTGTCTCACTACACACTATAAAACTATTGAAATCAGAATGTTCATTTTCTCACTTATGGCTTTTGAAATATGCAGCTTGTATCGGTCTTTATGGTGCACTCATTCTCTGGTACACCCGTTAAGAATGTGAATTCAGCAACTGCAGTGCTTACCAAAATTTAAGTAACTTTACAATACTACGCGAAATATTATTTTCACGCCAAATATAATCAATATAGCGGTTTTCCAGACATCGTTTTTGCTTAGTTATTACTGTATGGAAACAGCATTAGCTATATGATGCGATCACATTGCACAAGTTTATCCGACCACTTCATTGGTCTGTGCCTCGCAGTGTCGAGGAATAAAATGTTTATCTATTTATTTACTTAAATCTCTGTTGCGGCATCTAAAACACCTCAGGTATTCTGATCAGTTGTGTTGGCGATCCATCCCCATGTTTCATATGGGTAAAGTGTTGGTCAAGGAATTTTTGAATTCCAACCTTGTTTTGATTATGTGCTTCGGCAGTTTGTTCCTACCTTCACCACTCTCCGTTCGTGGCATATTTGATGAGCGGCCCGCTTCAAATCCGGTACTACAAGTTTCTACCGGTGTCCTCGTTTACTTCTTGGTGCGCGCATAAGGAGCCATTGCCTCAAGATGGGGTAATCACCAAGTGATACTATCCGGTACCTCATGATGAGGTTAACCCACACTCGACGATAAGACAGGGTACAAAGTCCTAGCCTCTTGCACCGGTCTTCATAAGGCACATCGCGTAAAGTAGGGATGAGCCTGGTGGTCACATGCTGTACCCACTCAATCCCTTCTACCTCACCCCAGGTGATAGGTCAGTAGGCAGGTGAGCCGTACTCTAGCATTGGTCGGAAGATTGAGACGAAAAGGCGAGTGAGGACCCCTTCGGACCATGTGTTAAAGCTGCGCTTCTACGTCAAAGCATACCAAGTCCGTTTTGGTAAAGCCTATAAGTGTTGTTCACGGAGTTTATATCGCAGAGCTTGAGTACACCGAGGTTTTTCACGAAAGCCGTGTGATGCAACGGTTGACCGGTCACAGTGTATATTTGACTGTGTCCACCCTTACCTAAGCTCACGGATAGGGACTTGACCGGGTTTATTCGGAGGACGACCTTTACAGACCACATGCAGAGGCGGCCAAGTTCACGCTGAAACAGGCTTCAGTCATCGGGCGCACTAATTACTCTTCACAACATTGAATCATATGCAAACAACGCACAAGGCGAACGGAAAAGCTGAGGCACATTGTTTAAATGGATCAGGAACAAAGTGCGCCCCAGTACAGTGGCTTGGGGCACACCAATGCTCGAGAGATACCAGTTGGTCAGATGGTTGTCGATCGGGACCCTTCAGTTTCGAACAACAAAATTCTTAACCCATTGGTGCAGCAACTCGCCAACACCGCACACCCACAGCCTGTGTAGGAGCACCTCATGATTCATCTTGTCAGAAACCTTACTGAAGTTAATGTAAAGAACGTCGACCGACTTTCCGTGGTTCAGCGCTTGCAGCTATTCATGCCTCGTCAACAGCAGATTAGGGATGCATGAGCGCTCTCAAGAAACAATGCTGTGCGGACGGCAAGAGGCTTTTCGACTACGATCGCTTCTAGTGTTTCCGCCCAAACATCGGTCAAACAGATCAGCGGTATTTTTCCATTTTTCTAGATCACCAACTTTCGGTGTTAGCTTTACGACAGCATTTCCGTTTGCTTGGTAATTACCATATGGTCAGCGATTTGTTGAACATTCCAGTTACGGAAGAGATGATAGCCGATAATGACTTGAGGATCCGTGGGTGAGTTCCACCAGGCCCGGCAGACGTAGTCCCGTCAAGACCGATCAGCAGCGTGCCTACATCTTCAATACTACAATCCAGGCTGTCACGTTAGATTAAGGCGTTACCCGTCGAACTGTACGAAAGCGAAACGTGCCGCCAATTCGGACGCACGATCCGTGCTCTAGTTTAGGGGCTGTCCATCTGAGCCCTCCAACACGTGCGCATTACCTGCAGCCCCAGGCGATGCTTCACATAAGCAATCCTCTTGGGAGACGATTTTGCTGCAGCTGCAAACTTCTTTCGGAAATTTAAGCGCTTTTGTGTTTTAGCGTGGTTGAAGAGATTTCACTGTCTCTTGTAAGTCTCATAGTCTTTGTCAGAGCCTGACAAAACGAATTTGTTCCATAGTTTGCGTCGCCGCCCAGCTAGTTTGCTATACTCTTTGTCCGACCAATGTGGCTTCAGTGATCCAACTTTCCAATACTTAAAGGATACAAATCGAGCGCAAAATGATTTTTTCCTCTTCTATGATAGACCAATAAGCTTCACCAGAAGAATCCTTCGGTAACGACCATTCCGTCTGGCTCGGGTCCCGAGTAAAGTCATTAAAGTCTACCTTCTGTGGTTGAAGGCTGGCTCCAGCGGAGGAGAATACGGCCGCAGCAGCTCCAAGCTGGCTATGATCATCAAATGGTCACTCAGTCCCAGGATCATTAGAATCTGGATGTCGTGCACACGTTGCTCACAGCTACTCAGTAGCAGGTCTAAGCCCGAAGGACTCGAGCGCGCGATTATGCGAATCGGTTGGTTAATGTGCTGTATAGCCCCATTTTGAAATATAATCTCCGCGAACTTTCTGTCGACTTCACAATGGCCAGAGAGAAGTTCGACCTTAGACTACTGTATTAGACGTAACATGAAATCGCTTAGGAGCAGGAACTGCAGACAAATCACCTGGTTGCGAACATGGGACAACCAATCCAAGCAGCGGCGAAGTGGACTGCGATAGACAACACCCAAGAGCAACTGGTTGCGTCTGGGATGAATCTCGCACCGGAACTGCTCAGGTAGACCATCAGCGCTGTGATAGAGACTCACAAGTCTTTCCCACAAGGAAAGCCTTATGTATAGCAGCACACCATCGTGGTCACTTGGCGGTCTATCCAAGCGGAATCACGAGTAACCATTGATTTCTACTTTTTGGCGGTTATGTCGGACTTTAACCGTTGCAGCAACGCATAAAACATCTGGCTGCCGATAAGTTACGAATATGTTATTTTTCTAGATACATCAGTAGATCCTGCTTTACTTCTTGTCATAATCAGTATGCGGTGGGGCGTGTTGATGTGAACTAGCGTACTACTCCGTTGCAATTTCGTTCGCTCGTATACTTGTGATTGTATCGATTGTCTGTGACACTTCATGGCTGCTCCTCTGAGATTGTTTCCTTCGTACGTTTCCACAGCTTCCTATTCAGTTAGAAGGTAGAGGTATTTTTAGGCCATTGAATAGTTTTTACTTTCTGTTCTTTCAAAAAAGCCGGCCTACTCTTTGGACTGTTTCCCACGTCGTGCATGAGCATCTCGCGCTTTCGAATGGCAAGCAAGTTCCTACCTAACTATTTAGCTTATCGTCACACTTTTGACCATTTATGGTAGCTCCAGTGTTAATGCAGTAGAAGTTCGCAGTTGCATTGACTAAGATAGCACACCAGATCATCTGTAAGGTGTTTATATTCGAACTCGCATCTTTCAGCTTATATGGCGTTCCACATAGCAGATTTAAGTGCCGATCTCTTACCTTAGACCGCTAAAACCTTTATTCACCAGAAAGCATTACCTTACTCCCTTCTTCAGTGAGACAATGCCTGTGTATCTAAGCAAATTCCAAACGCTTAAACTTCGATCTGCTTTGCTCAGCGAGCACCTTTGCAAGAGTTCAGTTTAAATTCAAAGCCTACAAGGTGTAATTTAGTTATTTTTCTGATAGTTGTGCACTTTGGAGCACAACGGTCTGGATCTTTTGCAACCAAACTGGTTAAGGAAAGAGTGGTGATACTTTTCACTAGATGGTCGCCTCCAGCGTTGGTCCTTTTTTGGTGATTACTCCTCTCCTTATTATCCATAGTTCCCATGACTCCGGAAAATGACATGGTTCTCTCGCTAGTTCTTTATTTCACACGTATTTTGTACTCCAAGTAATCTTCATTTTACAGGATCTTTATTTGGGCATACAGTGCGCGACTGAATAACGGTTGCTTTTTAAGTTTTAAGATCGACCTTTATCATGACACGAATTCTCCGAGATCCAAAAGGCAAATGACCGAGTTTTAACGCTTTGTCTAAAACCGTTTCCTCGGTCTAGAAAACGTCTCACGCAATCTGACGTCGTAAGTACTGCGAACAGATCATTCCTTTTAACTAAGCTTAGTTTATCTTAACCCACTTACACATTTGGCAAACACTGTAGCTCGTCTAGTAGAACGTACGCCTTGAGCAAAGTAGCTGACAGTGCACCGGTTCCCGTTTAATAGTACGCATTACGCAAAAAATGGGAATTTAACGTCTGCCTTGAGAATTCATCTGCAGGGGTTTACTTCAGAGGAAACTGTGGCGTCAATTGAGAGTCCGGGTTGCAATCGAACACACGCGGTGGGTACTCCGAAAACCCAAAGATGTGCATTTTGGGTTCGATGGTTGCGCACAACGCTGTGCCGCGCTCGGGACCGGCGCAGTTTCAATACTGAAACGTGTGTTTGCTTACTATCATTATTGCTGACGTAGTTTTGTCAAGGAGCATTGTAATGTGATTATGAGATGACAGTCCTTTTCTTCAATTCAACGTCCCACATGGTTGTGTCCATAACCAGCTTTTAATGTAACCAAGCTCTTTAACTTTTAGGAGCTGGAAGTTTAGACAATTTAGTTGGCCTTAACGTGTGACGGGCTTTGTAAATTGTTTGCACATGTAAACATCTACGTCTTCTCTAAAACTGGCCAGTATGCCTGACACTTTGGAACGTCACACCACCGTACCACTACGTAATGACTTACGACGTTCATCCGGTCGATCGAATTTCGTCCAAATCTAATGGCAATACATTCGAATGGTTTTGCGCCTTCGAACGGATTCGGTTGTGCGACTCGTGCTTTGAAGCCATTTAATCCAGGAACTAACTGGCGCACCGTTTTGAACGGGTGTGATTGAGATGGTTACAGTCTTATGAAAGGGAACTCACTTTGATGATTGCTATCCATCAGAGAGATGGGTAGATTGTCAGCTCGCATTGGCTGATGTAGTCTCAAATAGCTCGACTGATTTACGTTATGTGTTTGTTAGTTTAGAGAAATAGCCATTGTTGCGTTGTTCTTGTTCCGGCTTTCCAACATGGTCCACTGCAATGATAAGTGTTTCAGTACATTATCTTACGAGAGCGTACAACAGTAGTTTTACTAGATCCACAGTTGACTAGACGGTACCCTCTTGATGAACCGATGATTACCTCTGCAACCCATCTTTCCATTGTGATTACACATATCCTATCCACATGAGTTAAATCAGTTATATTTCTCCACGACGCATCGTCAACCCAGAGTGGTAACTATCGTTTATGCCTGTATTTTCCACCTCCACACAGAGCGTACGGATCTTCTGTTACCAGCGATGGACTGGCCAACGTTTGTCACAGCGCAGCCCACACCCGTACGTTGATATTCCTTAAGCGTTTTTCTATCCTATACTCATTCATAGACTTGTTCATACCAGCGTGGCCTCCTTTCGTCTGAGTAGCGCTTTTCATGGTTAAGACTAAAGATACATTTCCTTTTGAATCTTCTCTTTGTACTTGGTTACGTGTGCCATTGCAAAACCTATTGATATTGATCACTGCGACAGCCGAGCTGTCAGTTAACTTTGTTCGCTATACCTTTCTCTAAAATATGAGTCCTTTATGCGCTCTACGAAATGCGGAGCATTCTATACTCTGATGTGAATCCATTGATATTCATGTCCGGTAATTAGTGCGTTAACAACGATGGGCGTGGAAGGCTAGGAGTCGCTTCAGTTCATCTTGCTGTTTTATGAACTCAGCGTTTGTTCGATCTCCACAGGTACTCATATGGAAGCAGGCCATATGCCTGTTCAACTCGTCAATTCAATTAAAGGTATCCATAGAGAAAATAACTGAACAATTGTCTTTCCTCTCCTATACCTATTATCTTTTTCATTTGTGCGGGTATTTCGATCTGCTAGCGGTTTCGTTTTGAAATTGCCATTGATTTTCCCTCAACAATTTTCGTAAGCATATTGTTGATTGGAACATACTGTTGATTGGAACAAACTGTTCCAAAGGGTTAACAGTTACCTATGTTCATTTGAATAATGAACACTAGTAAAGGTCAACTAAATTGTGATTAGATAGCTGCGTTGCACATTTCTCTTTCCGCATTCACTTGCTATGTTGAACAAGACGTATGTGATCTGACCATAGTAACACATGGTACTTGATTTTCAGTGAGTTATAGACGCTTAAAACCCACCGAACTACGCACAACATCTTGGAGGAATAGTCACAGCTGATAGACGTCCTTCGACGTTAAATCGTTACTGGGGAATCAATGATGTTGCACTAAATGACAGATGCCTGTTTGGAATTACATTATGTTTCACTAGGCGTGCGAGCCACAAGTCCGTGAATCCTTTGAGCCATTGAATGATAGGCTGCGTGACTTCAGCGAAGGCGGAATAAGTAAACGCATGGCGGATGTGGCATGTAGCTGAACCACGTTTGTGTTCGCCTCCAGGGCTCTTTCTCGAATCGTTCAGTCGTCCATTGGTCCTTCGGCCACACACACACACACCTGATGAGAGACAGTGTTTGGAAGGTATTCATTAGTCTGTGGTTTACGTTGATGTTCCTTACTATGCCCATTACAATAAGAAATTCGGGAGGCTGCACTGCCACAATTGTCTATGTAACTCCGAGCGAAGGCAAATGTCCAACATTACCGTGAGAATCGCGTTCACGCAAACGTGTTGTATTCAAAATTGGTGTTTAATTTCTGTTTAGCTGTGCACCCTAATTCGAACCCACACATTCCGTCTTGAAGTAGCAAGAATGTATTCCACTGACCACATCACAGTAACCTGTTTGGTGTGAGTCAAAACCGAACTAGACAAAGTCATGTTAACGCATTGCTTTGGATGCGATATAAAGTTGTGAAGACACATTTGCCCTCTGTTGCACGTTCTTTTATGTTTTAGCTCACGTTGAGGCTTTTCGTGGCGAAGCTTTTGCTATCGGGCGCGTTCCCAGTTTGCAGATCCGGGAACGCCTTCCTTGTGGAGGTAACTGCGAATAAATCGCGTTTGCTTTGCAGGCGAGATGAAGAAGCAGTCACGGACAATCAGCGGCAGCGTCGCAGAGAGTGGGGAATTCTAGGCTTGTCATCTGGTTCTCCGTTTTATACTATAATTGCTCATGCGGGGCTGTGTCAAAGCCAATTTGACCGGCTATAGGGTCAATGACCACACACTTATGTACCTGGAGGTGGGTATCTAACGAAGGGCGGATGAACAACCTTGTTGGCCACCAGCTTCTCTGTGTACTGCTTCCTAAAACAAAGAAGGCGAATGAGCCACCTGGCTGTCAACGGTCTTCGTTAATCGTCCCGCTGCCTTGCGGGTCAGGTATTTAAGACTAAATGCCCGGGGTGGGGCCCCTTAAGTCAAACCCTCTTCCTCAGCCTGGGCAACCGGGAAGCTCACTGCACACACGTCACAAGGAAAGTTGCATCCCTTCCTCTGACTCTCTCACTTCTTCCTTTTGTTATTGTTACGCATGTGTTGTGACCCTCTGCCAAATGTTTAGTGGGCAAGTGTTAAATACATACAAATACACTTTGAGGCTTACTTGACATTGCTGTCTCCCTAACGGCTTGGGCGGTTCACAGCAATTGTGCTTTGCCGTATATGTTAACTCTGTCATTCTATGAACTTAAGGTGTTTGGCATAGCACTGCTCGACTCGGAGTGGAGAGCTTTGCAGCTACTCTTAACTACCACTGCACTCCTTTCGGTTTCCTCTTTACTTGGACGCGTCAGGTAGTGTTAGTCTGAGCTAAGAGGGGCAAACAACACATAGTGCTTGACGGTTTTTGCTTTGGTCACTAAGTCCATGGTCTGAGACACAGTGGTTAGAGGTTCATTGATGGGTCTTGGAGTCAACTCTGTGTGTCTCCACTCCGGATGCAGTCCCAGAGATCGAACTAGCGGAGATCTGTATCAGAGCAAACTGTGACCCCAATCGAGATTGCGTGTTGCAATCCAGACACATGACGTGTACTCTAAGACCCAGCAATACACTGATCGACTCACTAGCTTTATGGCTGCAGTTACATGACAGGACAAGAGCAAACCTCCGAAGTAGACCACAATATTATTTAGATATTGCCTATAAGTCGACAGAAGAGTTATTCCCGCAAACTCCGACCGACTTTATTAGATAACAGTTTTATTGCATAGCATGAGCCAATGCTGGCCGACTTTATGAGCCTCGCATTGAGATAAACGATTTTAGAGCAGACTGAGCCGCTTTACTCGATCCTAACCTATGTGCACTCATATTTTCTAAGCTGAGTAGCGTGAAACTAGTGACAGTGTAATATGTAAGCCGGATGATAAGGGTAATGTGAATGATAGCGGTCACACACCTCGACCATGAAGCAATCGGGAAGTGAAAGCAAACAAGGTTCCAAATGCTGCTCCAAACACTTTACACGCCACAGGTAGCTCTAGTGTATTGTGACTACTCGTAGTATGCAACGACACTCGCCTTATGTGACCTACTTGAAGATAATCAGTGGTCACGCCATTCGTTTCACCTTAATCTGTGCAACCAGAATTGGTGCTTAGGATGTTATCTAAGCTGGTAACTTAACCTTTACAAATGAACTACTCTTATAGATTAAAATGCGACATTTCCATCTAAATTATTCGTACGTCTTACTTGTTCTATCAGAACGTCGCTCCTACAAGTTGTAAGGCCAAAATTTCGTGACAACGGTAAGGCATGCCTCATGTATCAAGGTCCTTCAGCAGTTAGGTTGATGCAACTACCGGCTTTTAACCATGTACGTGCCTTGCAATTCCGAACACCGAGATATGGCTTAGCCAATTAGCGTATTGTCTCTTATCGTTCAGTCATGTTTCTCTGCAATTCATGCGTTATCACTGCGAGCTATATGCTACTTACAAATTTATGATACCAATTACTTAAATGAGAGTATCCATGCGACTGCTATGGCATCTACTGTTGTCACTGGTTTGGCAGCTTTAAATATATGTAGACGAACGCAATATTCGGAGGGATGCTAATAATTAGCGTGCACTGCATACTTAGATGTGGCGAACAGGTAATTAGACATTCGTTTGATCAGTTCATTGTATCTCTTGGATGTAGACGCAAGCCGTTCGAATCCATCCACATTAGAACTACCTTATGCTGTATACCGTTCCCTAGGAAATAACACATCCCATTTTGATCAACCATTTCTTTCTCATCAGCAATGCGCGACGCAAACAGTTTCAAGTACAGAGGTTGTGCTTCTAATGTTATTTTTGAAGCACTCACACTCCTCTGTACATTGACTGTGCCCATGTAATTGATGCTCATCGCAAAACAATTTGTGTTTTTACATACTCACCTTCAGGTTCGAAGTAATGGTTGTTTTCTTTACCGGTCTTCGCATTTCACCTGCCTGTTTGTTTTGGGTTATACTGGTATTTATATTTCCGTCGCAACGAGACTGGACCTTAACGTGGTGCGACGGTTTGCGTACCTCAATGACCCATTGAGCTATAATGGGTGATGCCTCCGAGCATCTTGAGAGCTACTCCTACCAGGTTGGTCAGTGGTGAGAGGTCAGACAAACTCAGTCTCCTGGTCCTCCAGGTTGGGGGTTGGAAATAGGATGGCGTCCATTTCCGTAAAACTAAATCACTGCCACCCCGCTGCCTTGCGGACAGGCTTTTGAGCCAAAGGCTTTGGATGAGGACCCTAATCGTTCTCCTGTCTAGGTCTGGGCGCCCTGACAGTATCCCAGCCCACATACAACCATGACATTTTCTTCAAACATAAACTTCATCCTGCATCGGCCGTCGCACAGATTATCAAGGGTCGCCTTATCTGCTGCATACAGCAGGGCGGATAAGCGAAAGCATGCTACTGCTGGCGCCTCCCTTCTTTCTTTTCCACCTTTTTCTCTTACTCCCATCCCGGCCCCCATTACTAACCTTCCTTCTATAATTTCCAGCTTAATTGACAGCAACCGAAGTGCTACTGGAGTAGTACCATCTGCAGCCACCATCCCACAGCACCTATCGGACGCCTATCGGCAAAAGTCCCTCATAAGGCCACGCCGTCCAGTTTCCATGGCGACATTCAACGTCCGCACTCTAAGACAAACAGGTCAGCAGGCTGCACTCGCACACACCTTGGATACACTGGGTGTTGATGTGTGTTGTGTCCGAAACTAGGATTAATGACCCTAACGGGGTTATTTAATTGACTGCACCCGGCTTATCCTCTCGTTTTTGGTTGCACGCATTAAGGTTTTCGGGTAAGTCCCCCTTCTCCCCTCTTCTTATTCTTTATTTCATAGGTCCTCATGGTTGTATGGCAGCGAAGCATCAGTTCAAATGGTTGATGTACTGCTGTTGATGATGATGATGGTATTTATATTTAAACTTATGGGATATCTGAAGTGAGGCGGGGGTATCGACAATATTGAAAAAAGCAGTCGTGCCTTTCTTCAACCCTCACATTTTATGACATCATAGTACTCACAAAGGCCTCTGGAAGTGGGAACTGCTCTCATTTTTTAATGCTTTGTTATCCTTAAACTTCACGAATAACCTCACGAGGCTGACTGTGAGTTCGTGTTCCACCTATGATATGTTAGACTATGCGGCTAAAATCATAGTTAATTTTATTGACATTTCAGAGGCCCACGTGCGGCAAGCATGAACGCGCTAAACACGTGTATGATTTTCCTACTAAACGGATTTTGATCATGCGCGACTCAAGGGATCGGTATCAAAAAAGTGAGTACGCTGAGCTTGGATAAGTGAAAATTATCTTCCCTTTGTCCAGTATTTTGAATCATGAAATAATTACATACCCATTTTATGACATGCCGTATGCAGTTAACTCCGTCAATTTAGCCAGGACCTAAAGTACCGAATTAAAAGCGCTCTACCCAACTGAAACTATAAATATTTGAATTAAAAATAATGATTACCAAAGCCTACATTGTTGAGCCCAAGCACATAAGTCTTTTCGGACTTATTGCTTATCAAAAGGGTGCGGAATATACTGTGTCGAAATTGAATTCATCACAGCGAAACCTGATCAGACACACACGGATAGAGGAAAACCACCAGAGGCCCTTTTCATTTCCTTCAGACTAGTCAGTAGTCCCTCTGTGCCACGGGGCCTTCAAGCCGTCTGCACATTTGTGGCTTCCCTATTGAACAGAGAGTGGGCCACGCTTTATCCCTATTGGCAACCCAGTCACGTCAACCGCTGTCACCCGCCGAGGTCCAGATGGTAAAGTCCCTGCCTGCGGGAGTTGGATCATGCCCCCGAGCCATTCGTCAGACTGAGGAACTACGCACTGTTGACGAGATCCCATAGATTAAAATAGCTGTCAAGTGCTTCTGCGTATCATAATGTTAACCATGTTTCCTAGAGGCTGCCATCAAGCACCGTATTAAGGAGAAATATTGGTGTGCCCGTTGAATTATTGATGGTGTTAATGTTGTTGACTAAAAATGTTTTCACAAACGAACCAATTATATGCAACAGAGGTGACTGGGGACGGTATAAACCAGCTTTGTCTTCGTAGCAGTAGTCTCAGTTTGCAAACAGTAAGCATTTCCAGCCAAGTAATTAATGGTGTTCCATTCTGGTCTTCAGGTTGAAAGTGTTCTAGATCCAGCGAACCATGTTCTATAACAGGTGCAGTTAATGACCAACTGCACTGGTAGATTGTAGTGGATCAATACTTATACGATATTCATCCACTTCTTATTTGGTGACATCACCGAAGATGATGAAAACCCCGCTGGAGAAGTGGAGAAAGGAGTAAGGAAGTGTCTCCTACTCTGTTCACATGGCTGATATCAGTATCGATCGTAGATCATTTAATCAGTTTCTTTGGTCATATGTTGGTATCACTCAGCTTAGCAACCTGTTTTAAAAAGGACAATGGTCTGTTCTCAGTGTGTTTTACCGCTTCTTCTTTCCCTCTGCTCTCTACCACTGACAACGGTCGTACGGCTGCTAGCTACCCTATGAGACTGCAACTGTCTGACCTCTCAGTCACGCACCCAGCCAACCGAAGCTATACAAAAGGCCAGAACTCGGTAGACAGAGAGTGTATCTACAGGATAGGTTAACTCAATTTATTGCTAACCGAAACATGCTAATTTAGGAGGTCAAGGTCACCTACTACTCCGCGTCTGGTTTTCAGACAGTGTGAGTGAGTTCCATGGGTTAATCATATTGACGAAATAGTTCGATGCCTTTGACACGGGCTGCTATTTGCTGGCCGATCAATTCTCACTCGGTTCCCGAATTCAGCTCTGGTTGCATCTCTATTACAGTGATTCCCTGATGTAGTCGCATATCACTGGAGTCCAGTCATTGTTGCCCTCTCCCAAGCCATGTGGACTGTGGGGCCAATTCCTTCGTTTGGGTATCCGTTGATCTTAGCTTCTATTTTTGTCAAGTATCATCGATTCACCGGCCCTCATCATCTTTGAGTAGATAAAAGCAACATTGATTTGGACCTTAGAGCTCGTACCAACCGCGACCTAGCAAATTTAGTATCTTATCTTTGGTTTCTCCTAGCAGAGTACGTTCTTGACACTTCCTGGATGCATAATGAAATGTAGGCTGTCTACTAAGCAATTCACTCATCGTATTCTTTATAAGCATGTGGTTTTCTACAGCAAGTAGGACATGGGAGGATTACACTGATTCACGAATTCTTCCAAACAACTTTTCCTCAAATGATTGAAATTCGAAATGGTTGCGGTTGTGTACGTGTTTTGCTTGTCTGTGGATCGACTGGTTTGCTTATGCACAAGGCATCAGTACTATGATATCGTAGCATTCGCAGTACACCGGAATCTCTTACCGACACTTTGACGCCGCAAAGACCTACATGCGGACTTGGCTCATGCATGCAAATTCGAACCGGTGGTTCGTGGATCATACACGGTGTGCACGAATCACTTCGCCACCTGGTCTTTTCCTGATACATTATGAAATTTAGGACAACAGTGCCCAATTGCTTTTCAAACTCTGTAGGCCTGTCGTCCTGAACGCGTGATTAATTCGCAGCTTTTCATCGAACAAATACCCAAAGCCAGCCCCGCCTTCGCATGCGTCACATTGCCAATGCAGTGTGACAGTGTGACTGGGTTTTAACAACGTAAGGATGAGGACACAGCCTTGCCCCAAACCGGAGACAATATTGAATTGACTTGAAGTTATCTCACTATAACTGGGCCGTGTCCTGCATACAACAATGCAAAAATTTAATTGAATGAATATAATGGAACTATGAAACTAACACAATACTGGCACAATGGAACAATGGTAGAAGCCAATGATTGACAAGTCCCATAGGATGCTTTGTGTGAATTGCGTAGGTTCCAAAAAGAAGTTATATTGAAGTGAAAAGCGCTCATCATATTATCCAGGTTAACACACCAGTATGTCCGTCTACCGCGCATTCGTGGTTATCGTAATGTTTACCTGCGTTTTGTCGTTACTCGATAAGCAAAATTCAGAATCTCCAAATGCAGACAGTGCAATGCATTGTCGAATCTTTTTTACAGATGAGTAGCGCAGATGTATAAACGACGAAATTAGAAAGAGCGTTGAACGGCCGACAAATTCTAAGAGTAAATTCATTCCGGCGGCATTTCAGCTGACTGTATTGAGTGGACAGTTTCATCTGGTGACCCCCCACAGTTTTGTGTTGCGGTTAACTTGCGATACGTGACAGCAAGCGTGAGTAGATTTTGCAAAATCCCATACTTCAAAATGAGGTCACACCATAGACAGCGATAAGTTCCGCTGTACGCTCCTAGGGAATTTAGTAGCAGTTGGTGTGCTGGGTTGAATACTCCACTTACGTTTGTGATTTCCCTTTGCTGTGAAGTCTCCAATGCAGTCAGGTCGTGTTCTAATCAACGTGACCAGGCCTGCATCGTGTACTCTGCACTGACCTCACTTATATGGCGAGTAGGTGCAAGAATATGGAGGCATCGATCGGTCCGAATGCCATCCGTAGGAGACAAACGATTTCGGACACTCACCGATTGCTCGGAACACCCACCGTCGTCTTGCACCACCAACCTAAGATAGTGCCCCTGTGATGCGGTCTTCAACATGTGGTATCCAATTGTGTGGCGTGCATGTACAGTTTTGCATTCTTTCGCGTTCGACGGAAGTAAATTAGTTGTTGTCTATTCACAGTCACGAGCCAGGTCTCGTTGCAGTAGATCGTGATATTCCCTATTACCCATTGCCCACCATGTATTAATGTTATTGACATCAAGTAATTCGACTCGCTCATACGCATCTGGTCGTTTACGAGGACGAAGAATAAGCGTGGCCAGATGTCTGTGCCTGGTGGAACACTGCTGCACCTGAAACAGCCGCTGAAGAAGAACGTTTCTGATCTACGTTTCGAGAGGGTTCCCAATTCTATATGTATTCAGCTAGTAAAGTTAGCTTCCGTTAGCTAGGCGGTCAAAGAATTTTGGGAACTCTAGCTGGATGACATCAGTTCAGGTCCCACTATCCGCTGCCTCAGTCTAACTGTTGCGCACAAGCAATAGGTTCGTGGTACGTGACAGATGTTAGCGTATTCCGGATTTCGCTTGCGCTATGATGTTAGATATATCTGAATAGCCCATTAGTGCTTAGCACTGATCCGCTCCATCCACTTTGAATGCCCTAGTAAGGGAATTGGTTGGCGATGGTTGACACGTTCCGAACGGCTGCTACCCTTAAAAATTGTGTATTGCTATCCCAGCAGTTCCTCGCTCCATCACCGAAAGAATCGTGATAATGGCTTGACCATACTCACAGCTGCCAGCTGCAGTGCTTTTGGGTAAACTATGGGTGCACGACGACAGCAGCTTCCTAGAAACGGTCGCTGAACTAAAAGTGACGTGCGTAAATACTGACCTTTGGGGGACTAGAATATATATCTCTTACTCACGGGAACGGCTTTGACCACATGCTACGCTGCGTTCCTTGCTATCATTCGTTTTCGGTTACTGCTCCAAATGAATAATGGAGCTGTCAGGTGCTTTCCGAGATGGATATGATCGGATCAGTGAACTTAGCAGAAAGATCCTTCCAGACACTATCAGCGGAACGATCATCCGAAAACCCTCACGTGACTTATCTAACGAGTTCTGTTAACACGCCTTGGTATATTATTCTGTGTGTTACTGTGCATATTCCAAATAACACACGAAAGCGTAAATTTTTGTGACTTGTGCAATCAGCCCTGGAAGACTCCTGTTTTTGGGGGCTTCACGATCATGAGCCCTTCGTTTGTGAGCACTACATCAAACGCAGATGGTTTGCTTCCCACTCTGAATCTGATGGGTGAGCTGGTTTCCTGAAGTTTATGATGGTTGCAATAAAGTCCTGCTGTTCGGCCTTGATCTGCTTGACGGTTTTAGCGTAACCTCCAGGTCGTAAGCATTGAAGTCGTTCGGGATGACAACATATTGTATCATGGTCACAGGACCCTTCGCATGACATGTTAAGCAGGATTCCATGGCTGGCGTGGACATTAGGGGACGATTTGCAACTGCCACAAGACAGGTGTTGTTGCGTCTCAGCCACAGACGGCACTAATAGGAGTCTATGGTCAGGCTTTCCGGATCATCCTTCGGTTCGCATTGCAGGTCGCTGATGGGTTGTACTGAAGTGCCTCAGCTGCCTTGCTGGGTCGATCATTCCGAACAACGTACATATCTCCTATTGCGACTTCGGTGTCTGTAAATTC